ACGTACGTAAGTACATACAGACGTCACGAAAAAATCCCTTCTGAATCCATTTTAAAACTATTTTACAATCCGTTTTGGAAAAAAGACTCCTTTACTTTGTCCGTACGTACAGAACTCCAGAGACGAACACCTGCCCTGGAACTAGGTTGTTACTTCCGAACTCCGAGGTCCATCCAAGCGGCCCATCCCAACCGATGTAACAACGCTCAAAAATTAGGCGGTCCCCGATTATGCTAAACTAAACATTTAATGCCAAGAAAACGAGAAACAGAGAAACATTTCACAAAGATTCTTTAAATAATAAAATCAAATCTGAGCTTTATCAGCTAAAAACTGGAAGCCAATTGGAAACAAAAATTGAAAAAAACGCAAACTTACTGAAATCTTAGGACGACCTTCTAAATGAAAATATATTTAATCCTTCATGCTACCAAACTGTGTTCTTCGTAGATTTCAAAGCTGCTCTGTAGATGCAAAAACGTGTAGTCCCTGGAAAAAGAATGCGATAATGTTCAAAGTGTCCAATAGTTGAACTAAGTATTTAAACATGTGTTCAAAATGTCCTATCCTATTAAATTTTGTGTGCGGGGGTGCCAAATATTGGGTACGATCTGTAAAAATCCGAGGAGGGTGATCGTCGACTCCAGAATGGCCCCGTAAGAAACTTCTAAAAGATGCTGTCTTCTGTAAAATCTCAAAACGCGAAAATAAAATCGTAAAATCTTAAAACGCTTTGAGGCATTACTGCTTTCGAGTTTTAAGATTTTACAGAAAACAGCATCTTTTAGAAGTTTCTGCACCGCCATTTTGAAGTCGAAGATCACCCGCCTACAGGATCATAATTTTTACAGACCGCACCCAATATTTGGCACCCCCGCACACAAAGTTTAACAAGATAGGATTTTGAACTCATGTTTAAATTAGTTCAACTATTGGACATTTCGAACATTATCGCATTCTTTTTCTAAGAACTACACTTTTTTTTTTTTTTTGCATCTACAGAGCAGCTTTGAATTCTACAAACAACATAGTTTGGTCGTATGAAGAATTAAGTATATTTTCGTTTAGAATGTCGTCCTAAGATTTCAGTAAGTTTGCGTTCTTTTTTTTTAAATAATTTTTGCTTTTAATTGGTTTCCAGTTTTTAGCTGATACAGCTCAGATTATAAGGTATTACTCCCATCTTCTTGGCGTGCCTTCGTGGTGTGGTGGTCTGCACATTGGGTCGGTATTCCAGAGGTCCGCGGTTCGATTTTCGGAGAAGGCGTTGTTAATTTTTCACCTTTCCTGCTTTCAATAATAGCTAATGTCTCTACAGTTGCGCTCGAACTAAAAAGGTGTTGGATGATGATTCTCCTCACCCAGGATTTGACGATTGGGTCCCCTAAAATCCCAGTCGCCCTTTAAAAGGGGGAGTATGTAAGGTATTTCTCCCGCCTTCTTAGCGAGCCTTCGTGGTGTAGTGGTCAGCCCTCAAATGAGAAGCCCGCGGTTCGATTCCCAGGGGAAGGCGGTTGTTATTTTTCAATCGCTCTTGCTTCCAAAAAATCCTAATGTCTCTACAAGATTTGATTTTATTATTTAAAGAATCTTTGTGAAAATATGTTCGTTTTCTTAGCATTAAAACTTTAGCATAATCGGGGATCACCCAATTTTTTAGTGTTGTTTAAATGGTAATTTGGTCTAACGTATATTTGTTGTACTCTTTATATTTATTTGCTTTTGAATTTCGGATTTGCATATAATAATTTTTGGCCATTTTGATTTTTTTAATGGTCTCTTTACACAATGTAAAGTTTTGTGGTTGTTGTTTTTTTTTTTTTTTTTTTTAGTAATCAGTTTAGCAGAATGTTATGTTTTGTACATTTTTCCAAAGTGTTTCGGTGGCGTGTAGGGCAAATCCTGGTACATTTGAGATTCACTTTATTCCAGTTTTATATGAGTTTTATGTCTTAATATGAAATTTAATAGCTTCCTTTTTTTCGGTTTTTTGATCTCAAACTGATGAACCAGGAGAACGAAACGCGTTTTTGAAACATAGTAATCGACTTTTATGAAGCATTAATTTATTTTCCCCTGATAAGTTCGGAATTGGAGATTCAATAAAAAGAGATTAATTTTTATTTTTATATTTTTATTATGTTCTATTTTTCCCCTTTTGCATTTTCATTTTTCATTTTTATTTTTAGAGTTTGTTCTATAATAAATTCTTATTTTAATTTTGATATGTTTGGATATTGTGTTAAACCTCTTATACACGATGGCTGTTATTAATATTGTTGAGATATAACCTTGCTTTGACTCCAATGTTCCTTCCCCTGATAAAGTGGCATTGAAGTTGATTGAATTTCTCTTCTGTTATGTTCTTTTTTCTTTAAATCTCTTTTATTTTATTATTTATTTACTTACTTATTTATTTATTCTTGTATTTGTATAGTAATGCTTGTTTAAAGGTTTCGATTTTTACATTTGTTAAATTCTTTGCTGCCTTTATAGGATTATTTGAAATTTATTAATTATGAATTTCAGAATTTTTGGTCTTTGTGAAACATTAGTTCAAAATTTCTTACTTCATGTATATATATGTGATGTACCAGCTTTTGTCAGGAATAAATAGATTGTTGAAGAATCATCAATGTAGTCGTAGCTTAAATTATCAGACGATAGTTTTAAAAAACAGGATCCATTTATTATATTTCAGTAGAAAATAGCAATTACAAAAATTTGATCTCCGGAGTAAATAAAAAAAGAACTACTAATAATATTTTGTATGAAGGTTTACTGCATCGTGACATTTAAGAAAAAAGCCCCAATATTCTCCTGCGAGTCTTTTTATAGCCTCTGGAAAGGCGGAGCTTCCAAGAAATGACGTCAGCCTCGTCAGCCAATCCAGTTCGCTTTAAATATCCCGAGAACATTCTAAAACTGTACGTGTAGAAAAGGCGGGAAAAGCAACTTGACTACGGGGCTGTGGATTTAATTCCACGTACTTTCAAATAAGAGAACGTCGCCATTAAAAATGAAAAGAACATACAGTTAGAATTTTAAGTGTATTCTTGATTATGGAATTTTATTATTACACATATATATATGTAAAATATTAAAAAAAAAATACGATGGCTTTGTTCTTCGCGAACACGTAACCTTTAATTAACTTTCTACAATTCAGGATCTTCCCCTTAGACCAGTACCTTCTAGAACATTCGCGCCTATTACATAACCGCTACTATAAATACTGAGTGCGCGCCATTTTGAGTCAGAAGCTTCTCTCTCTCTATGCCGTTAGAGTCTACGCTACTGCGCTTCTCATCTTGCTTTCTTTGTCAGAATAAGTTATGACGCATTAAAGTTAAAATATTCTTATTTAGTAACGAATAAATGATCTACAATGATAATTGAATTAAAGATATGGAATAAAGATGCACAGTTAAAAGCTAAATCACTTTTGTGTCTTCATTGGATTTTTCCTTCCCACGCTGCAAAAACCATGCCTGAACTTTGATGCCAAGCTTCATCACGCCTGTTAAAATATCATATATATATATATATATATATAAGCTGAATGCTCAAAATTCTTGACCTCACAGGTCCTTTTTAATTCAGTTAGTTTGCCTTTCTTACATTTATATAGATATATATATAATATAAAAAGGAAATTCTTCATGCTATTGTTTAAAAGGAAATGTGATACTGTAGTTCCCGTGTTTAATTTTTCGACACTATGTAAAAATAAATTGCAATTACAAAAAGTTTAAATACAAGAAGTATGAAATTCTAGAAAGAAACTGACAAAAGAAACAAGAAAACTGACAAATAAAAAGTGAATGTAAAACTCAAATCAAATTTGAATGTTAAAAAGTGTTGATGAAAGTTTAAACAATCCTAAAACCTTTTAAAATGAACACAAAAATATTTAAAACACGAGCAAAATTACTAAGTAAGAAGCGGTAAATGGTAAATTAGCCGAATTCGAATCTCATTACGGACTTTGCAAGGGAAATGCACAATGAGCTTCGAATCCAGCTAATTCCGTAACGCGTTTCGTCTAAACATGAAAAATTGAGACTGAGCATGAAAAAAACTTTTTGACTATTAAACCGATAAAATTACCTTATATAACTATAAAGTCTCAATTTTTCTGTTTCATTTTCCGACGCGTCCGCTGGTTAAAAGTAAATAAGAAACACATTAATGGTGCAAGAAAGAAACTATGCAAATTAACCTGGTTATACAAATGTACAGAATAAAATAAATAGCTAATTGCTATTAATCAATTTATACATGATTTTAAGGGAAGACTTTCTTAGTTTATTCTCCTAGCTTCATTAATATATATATATATATAGATAGATAGATAGATAGATAGATGTATAATAAAATATTCTATTATGATACTTTTTAAACTGGAAAAAAAAATGTAGGAAACAAAAGAGGCATGTTTTTTGTTACAAACATCAGCAAAAGGTTGAATTAAAAATGGAGCATGGAATACTCAAGACAATTTCAGATGTCCTCGTTCTGTCTTCTCAAAGTTCATTCTTTTTTCCCTTGCATTCCTCCTTACACAATAAACATTTCTCTACTGCTTTTTTCCCCCAAGTAGGTACAAAACTTTCACTCGACTGATATATATAATAAAACTTTGTGTCATTATTTTTAAGGTTAATTACTTATTCTAAGGTTCTCTTTTATTATTCAGTTACTGCTATTAAATATCCCAGTCCCTAACAACGCAAATATTTTTTGCTATTCTATATGCTATAATTATACAAACCGTATGTGTAACAACGCATTTGTAAGCGTGAATATCCTCTACCGTATGCAATAACTTGCGTTGATAACTGTGCTTTAATTAATCATTCGTACTTTAATTTCCGGTACACATTGCATGCTCATAATTGCTACACAACGGTTATCTCATTATGGACGCGTAAATGTGATTAAAGCATTTCCATTAACTAATTGTCAAAAGTTCTAATTCACTTCCGTTTTGTTTATAGGTGAACGGGAACCAAACACTGGATGACAATATCTGTGATAATTCTGGACTGAAGCAGGCCTACTGGGTAAGGACATAGAACAGTTCATTAAAGTGGTCGATTATCATACAATTATCTATGCTTATAACATCGTTCTAATATGCAAGTTATTCAATCCATTCAATGTTGCATCAAATAAGATGCGAGGAATTTTCTCATGTTCATGGAATACTGAAAGATTCTGTATTCACATAATACTGCTATCGTAAACCAGGCAGTAACTTCACATTTATATTGGGAACATTTTATGAAGTTTTATGACAGTATTATTTTTATGAAGCATGTTGTTGGTTTTAAAGCAAATATATTTGTGCATCAATTAAATTATATATGTGGAATTCTCTTTTAAATCAGATCATGAGAGCACTCACTATCTTGGCATTGTACATATGCGTTTATTTAACAATAAGAAATAAAGGGTAATAATGATAAATTAAGTAAAGTTTAAATGTTGAATGGTTCATGTAATGTTGCACAGTCACAGACAGTCCTAGTCCTTTCACACAGAGTTCCTCCGGCGTTGATGGAATATATTAATTCCAGCTAGTTTTAAATAGTATGATCATCTAAAGTCATCACAGCTAAAGGCGAAAAATTAAAAGAAGAACAAGAAGACCGTCTGCTCACGTCTACGTCTGGACGCTATCTCTCGCTGTCTCGGATGATTCTTACTGCGCTGAGCGGCGATGACGTCTTAATCCTGGTATTCTAATTCAGTATCGGGCGTTGGTGATTCCCACATATATGCCATAATATAGGGATATAGGTAATTGAAAGTGTTTTTCAGAAAGCTACAACTTAAGGTTAATTCATGTCTGACTTTGTAATTCAATTTATTTAGTGTTTCAGATTACATAACGTAATTTATTGATTTCAGTCTTAGCGCTGATTTCTTCTCGCGTTTGGTTAACAATTTGAAATATTTCCTTTATGGATACATTCTTTCTGGATTCTATTAATTGGAACACTCAATGTTCAAATGACCTTGATTTTTTAATCATTTTATTATCTGTGTATGAGCTATACTCATATTGAATTTCATCAAAAACAACCACTTCCTTCATGGTGCTTCGAGTTTTTTGCAAAAGAGTGTATCTGAACAGAGCGCCACTTTAGCTTACATAAAACCAACACTTATCGCTTAACTCAAACAGGTAATGTTGAACTTAAAATAAAATGCGATTAAATTAGCCTAACTGCTCACAAGATAAATTAACGCGCAGGAAGGCTCTGACTCGTAGAAGCCGGCGTAAACAAGCTTAAAGGCTAGAAGCACTCAACGGCACAGAATCAAATCGCTAGTAGCTCAAAGTAACAGCTGGCCTTCAAGCAAGCATTATACGCTCGAAAATCATCTTCCAGAACCTCCGCTTAAATAGCACTTCTTCTTTTCAATTTGAATAAACGTGCGCTATCTGATTAGCATTCCAGCAGGAAAGCGCGGGTGAAAAATGAGAATGAGAGGAAAGTTGCTTTAACTAAAAATTAACTATTAGTCAAAATAAATAAATAAATCCTCACAACCTTCATAATAAAAATAAATTTTAGCTTTTGACGTTAAAACTAGAGTGTTTAGAAAAAAATCCGCAACTTCCCATTTTATTACTATTACTTTAAATCTGCTAAGTTTTTGGAATCATTGAATACTTTACTTCATAGTTGTTAATTCTGGGAACAAAAGAATATTTGTCTAAAAAAAGGTTTAGAAGTAAAAGTGTTTTAAAATCCTATTCCTTTCTCTCCAAACTAAAAGAAAAGCATACGAATAGAAAGTATACGCGACATTTCTATACTTCCAATCGAAAAAATTAATCTGCGATAATAAATAACTAATTAACTGCATTTCCTTTTTTATTTCATTTATTGTTATTGTTGTTTTAGCATTTAAAAGGTTACTCATAACCGTTCGTTTTTCAGGCATACAAACATTATGTTGCTCAGCATGGGGAGGAACCTACTCTGCCTGGAATTGGTTTCTCTAATCTGCAAGTATTTTTCATGCAGTACGCACAGGTAAATTTCATTGCTGTTATTATTATTATTATTATTTATGTAAGTAAAGTTATATAAAAGATGATAAAGAAGAGAGTTTTAGTATAACCTATTTAAAATGCATAATTTAATATGCGAAAATCGGTAATTGGCTTTTATAGTTAATGCCATAATTAATAAAATACAATTTCAAAATAGAAAAATTCATCTTGTATCAAAAAATGAAAAATAGAATTTTAAAAGAAAAATATTTCCTCGTTATTTACCTATAACAATCCACACAATTTAAGATGGAATCTAATTAAATGAGGCTTATAATACATTTACAGTGAACTTTGGTATTTTTCTAATTCTATAGCTAAGGTACAGGAAATGGTAATTTTGTAATTAAGGCATCCGTTAATGATTAACACATAGCTTTAAAACACCCCCCCCCCCCCGGATTTTCATCACATTTGCCGGTCTTATCTACCGGGCAATCACTAAAATCTCCCTAGCGTTTACTACGGGAAATGTATTCTAGCAGTGTATGAAATTTATTAAATTAATGAAATATTAACTGTGCAAATTCCATTCTCATCCCTAATGAATTTTAACATAATTTTTCTTGTTTAAATTTCATTTCACAAGAAAATTAATTTCATATGACTTCTCTCAATCTTCTAGAATTTTTTATGAAGATTCAATGAATGTTAAACCAGTTAACATTTGTATTTAATTTTATTTCATATCAATAAATGGTACATTTCTAAAGTTATCCACAAGTTAATAATGTAAAGAAATTTTTGTGAAGGTATGTATAGTCTTTATTTATATTTTTTCATCGTATTTAGAAGTACTTCGATAAATAAAAATTCTTTTTAATTCACAAATTTCTCAATAGAAAAGTCTAAGAGAATTACAAAAAATAAATAACTAAAATTCAGATTATCTAATTAGATGTTAGTACAGTTTACACCATATTCATATTGTAAAAAGTTTAGTAATTTAAATCATACATTATAAAGTGAATTTAAGTCGACATAAAGTTCTTTTGAAATGCCGTCTCCAGGCAACAGAAACTCTCTTGGGAACTATCGGTTTTCGTCCCGGTTTTTCATATTTCAAGGTTGGCGACTACGATTACAAGGGCTTTTTTAGAAAAATTCTAGGGAGAAAATAAAACAAGTCTAATTAAAGATGAAAAGGAAATTAAACTCTTGTTTCATCTTTCAGCAGTTAAATCGATATTGGGTCGGTGCATAAGTCCGTGTCGTTCTTCACTGGGTTGGCAGTATTGCATTGTAAAGCCTTCTTTTTTCGTTAATGAATTGTTTCCAAGTTTGGGGTTTGATTGTTGCGAATAGGAGCTTGTATGTTGTTAACAGCTGGTTTTGGTTATTTTCAAGATTAATCAGTATGGAATGGCAGAAGAAAATGAACACATCCGACCCATTTATCGCCCCTTTTGGTTACCATCTTTTTCGCTATCTTCTTAACAACATTCAGGGACAAGAGTTTCATGATGAAGCTTCTCTTAACAGGTGGCTAACAGATTTCTTCAACTCGAAATCACAACAGTTCTACAGGAGAGGCACTGAACTACCTAAAGACTGGTAGGCGGTCATTGACGAAGATAGTGATTACATCAGTGAGTGAATGATTATTGATTTATGATGTAGCGTATCAGAGTTTTTTTATTGTGTATTGGATTATTTTGTAGTGTATTGTAATGTACTTTATACTAATAAAAATCATACCGTGGTAAAAACAGCAACCCACTGAAGAACGGCACGTCCGCACCAACCCAATAAAACGATTTTCCATATAATCATTCTGAGACGCTTACTTAGCGTGGATTTTCTAGCGCACTGCAAGAAATAAGAGACTTTTAGAGTCTTAGCTGTAGTTTTATTAATTTGTTATAGTTTTATGTAACAGCTACCCAGACACTTTGCCACATACCAGCAGATCTATGCGCATGGGGAAGAGGAGTTATCCAGAGCATTACCTATTCACGTGCATCATAACATCAAGTCTGTACCTGAGAAGACCAAGACAAGAACAACATATCCGTACCTCAAATGCGCAATCAATTAATAGCCATATGAGCAAGCACATAACCCGAATAATGGATATTTTCGCATCTAGGGGTCTAGAAATGTGCAACACGGAATGATCCCACCCATGTCAATATACAAAGGAAAGCCACCAATGATTACTGTTTCAATTTCTAGCTGAAAGCGGTCATAGCTAATAATGAAAGCATTTCAAATTACACCCACTCTCCAGATGAATGGTACGAAGCACCTAAGCACACCATCAAGTCAATGAATCAATATGTGTGCATCCCAACTGCTCTAAAATAATCAAAGTGCTCAACAATAACCAAAGTGTATAAAGCAAATGAGTACACGCATAGTAACTATAAGCGACGAATAATTAGGTATGATGAACATCCAATCATATCGTACGCAATTAAATACTCCACTAGCCAAAGTAGGTCCGGATATATGACGGGACTACCAGTTTGCATATTTCACAAGTGCACATCAGCGTAGCCACTGAGAGAGGGGTTTCGAAAATGGACCAATGAGCTGCTATTCCTCTTGTGACGCTAAATCTTCGTGCATGTGAGCATATGTTGTTTACGTTTTAATTTTAATTTGTTTGGCAGTTATAAATATATGGCGTAATAGTAGAAATCTTGTAATGCTTTCGTTTTATGAGTTTAATTAATCGCTGACATTTCACTTTCGCGATTTTCATCACGCATTAATATTTGGATTGATGTTCACGGAATATTATGTGGATTAAGAGAATTCAAGTGTATATTTTTTTAATTGAGCTGATAATGACTGAAAGGGTTACAATGAATCTAGTGTTTTCTTAGTTCAGTGCTTGCATTCTTTTGATTATTAAAATATAAGATTCAGAATACATATGATCTGATTATATCCATTGCTAACATTAAAAATTATATATAAATAAATTGAATATATTCGTTGTGAATAAGATAAATTCACTCTGCTTGATGAGCATTTCTTGTGTAGAGAGTACATTTAAGAGTGAGCAGTTATTAAATGTGAAATTTAACACACTAAATGCATACGAATGCAAATTAGTAAAGTTCACGTTGAATAAAATTCTGCATTGGTTATTATTATAGAACAGCTTTTTCATATAGACTGCAATAAAAAGTGCTGACTTCTATTTACATATATAACTGGTGTCAATATTTTTCTCATGCGCATAGTTTATGTAAAGATTGCATTTGGGCTCGGATGTTTATCACATATTTCTTTCTTCATCTTATTTACCACTTATTAAGTAATATTTCACATCGATATTTTTGCGAAGTATCCAGCATGTGTTTGTATTTATTTCAACCAGGTAGTGAAATCTTCATAATTGCCTATATTTGATCTAACTTCGCAATGAAAAGTTTCAGAAGCAATCGACGATGCTTTAATTATTTTGTACAGAAAATTGCGTGGCAGAATATTTTAAATCATCTTGCTTAAGTCTCAAAGACGCGAAAGGTCATGTGACAGAAATATTACTGGATGCTCATTGGTCCATCCTAGAAGCCACTCTCTCGGTGGCTACACAGATGTGCACTTGTGAAATATGCTACCGGTTACACAGCCAACGGTAGCAGAGCTTGCGATACCGGTTTGCACCACACAACGGTTTGCACCACACTTGCGATCTCGGTTTGCACCTCACCACGGTACCAGAATGGTACCGTGGGCCGCAGGAAATCTGAATAGTCCCAGCTAATCTGAATAGTTAGTGTAAGGGGCTAGTGTAAGCTACCTACTTACTCAGAGTAACTAATAGGTGACTCCTGCACTCTACCTAACCTACACATACCAGTTGGAAAGCATTATAAGTTTGTAATGTTTGTTTGGGAGGCATTACATTTTGAAAATAATAACAGTAATAAATTAGCAATGTAATTTTATTCAGAAAAATCAGATTTAACATTGTAACGTTCTTTTTCTAGATATGGTGCGAAGTACTTAGTAAAGAAGCCAACGAAAAATATATTAAAGACAATCACAGTCCTGGTAAATACAGGTAAGACGATTTGTCCCTGATTAAATTTAAAGTGAGATAGAATTAAGTTCTTCTATTTCAAATTTTCTAGATTGAGCGCAAGTTTTTATGTTATGTTTCGAGCAATAACGCTGATTTCATGTAAGCAGAGCTTAAATTGCTCCGAAGCTCAGCAGAACTCTGATACTTCTCAACTTTTGAGATATATGGTAATTCTAGCCAGAACGCAGCTAAATAAGAGAATTCTGGTATTTCTTTTATGTAACTGAATCATAATTTCTAGAAAATGTTCTTGATTTCGGAAATTTTGATAATGAGCAAACCTTAAAAAATCATACCGGAAGGACGGAGATTCTAACTTCTGAATATACAGTGTCTCACAAAAGTGATGGGACATTTGTGCTTGACAAAAGGAAACTGTAATAAAATAAATTAAAAAAAACATGTAAAAATTTTTTGTGGGTGTGTTTCATTCATACTTAAATTTAGTAACAATTATTACATAACATACATTTTCTCAAAATATTAAAATATTAATTTAATAAAAATACAATTGTTTAGAACGGAGCAAAAAAAAATGGCTCACATAAGTGATGGGACACCATTAGATACTACTACGTACTATGCAACAAAAATCGTCTGAAGTAAGCATAAAATATTTTTGGGGGTTTTTATTTTTACTCAAAAGCAATTGGCAATAATTTATAAAATCGTCTGCAGTATTTCTCTCCAGTTTGTTTTGGAATTTTTGTGTTTTTTAGCTCTGTGCAGCCATGAATGCTAAACGAAAAGAAACTTTGCCTGAAATTCGAAAATTAGTTATTAATTTGCATATTGAACGTGGAAAATCTATTAGAGAAACTGCTGAAACAGTTAACTGAGTCATTCAACAGTTTTCAATATCATTAAAAAGACCTGGCCGACCATCAAAGCTATCCAATGGAATAAAGCGAATTATCGTTCGAAATATTAAAAAAAAAAAATCCAAGAATGAGTGCTCCTAAAGTTGCTGCTGATTTACAAGCATTATATGGAGTAATTGTTAATCCTGAGACTATTAGAAGAGTAATTCGATCTGCTGGATATCACGGTAGAGCAGCCAGGAAAAAATTCTTCGTAAGTGAAAAGAATAGAAAACTCAGACTGGCTTTCGCAAAATCCAACATAAATAAGAATTCTGATTACTGGAATGAAGTTATATTTGCTGATGAGAGTAAATTTAATATATTTGGTTCTGACGGTAGAATCTTGGTGTGGAGAAAACCCAGGGAAGAATTTCGCAAACAGAACTTGGTGCCAACAGTAAAACATGGTGGAGGAGGAGTTATGGTATGGGGGTGTATGTCGTCCGCTGGAGTTGGTAATCTTGTTTTTATTGACAGTATAATGGATCAGTACAAGTATATTGACATTTTAAATCAAAATTTGAAATCTTCAGCACGAAAATTGAACCTTCATAACGATTTTAAATTCTACCAGGACAATGACCCCAAGCACACTGCTTTGAACGTTAGACTCTGGCTGCTGTATAACTGTCCTGAAATAATAAAAACACCACCACAATCTCCAGACTTAAATCCCATAGAGAATATTTGGCAAGAATTGGAATCAAGAATTCGCAAACACACCATTTCTTCAAAACAACAATTAAAATCGGTGCTTCAAGAAGAATGGGGTAAAATCACTCCAGAAATCACAAAAAAATTAGTCGAATCCATCCCAAGAAGATTAAATCACGTTTTAAAAGTAAAAGGAAATCCAACAAAATATTAAAACCTTTTAAAAAGTAAAATTTTTGGATAAATATTTGATGGAAAAGTAAGTGTCCCATCACTTATGTGAGCCATTTTTTGCTCCGTTCTAAACAATTGTATTTTTATTAAATTAATATTTTAATATTTTGAGAAAATGTATGTTATGTAATAATTGTTACTAAATTTAAGTATGAAACACACCCACAAAAAATTTTTACATGTTTTTTTTTTATTTATTGTACTACAGTTTCCTTTTGTAAAGCACAAGTGTCCCATCACTTTTGTGAGACACTGTAGGTCTGTCCTTCCCTGGTAAACGAACCGTTTTGGAGATTTAAGACTTTTGAGGAAAATAAAGCCTCCCCCCCAATCCACATTTCAAAGACTTATTCTCCACAAATGTCGATGAATTTATGAGAGCGAGTAAATTTTTCTTCCCTGAAAGTACTGGAGGTAATCGCCGTGCACGTAATGATTTCGCACAGAAAATAACACCTACAGACGTTTTGAAACAATGTAGTCGAATACGAAAAGGGAGAACGAAAATCCTTACTTTTCAGAACTTTGCATTTGTTTTCATTTTACAGACCAGCTCTTGGATTTAGGAAGAATCTTTTCTCTCTATTACATTCTGCGTCATAGCTAGAATTATATCAGCAGGAAATGTTGGATTCTTCTATTCTGGTTTTTATGCCTGTGCATTTTTATTAAAATTTCCTTTTATATCTCATACATTTTTAACATTCTCTCTATTCATAGTAATGCTTTAACCATTTTACCTTTTTTCATTATTTCATTAGTGTGCTGGAAAAAGAATGAGCTTTGTTCTTACTGTTGTTCTTTCATCCTTTAAAACCCTCTGGGCGGCCAGGGTTTTCGCTAAGAAAGCACAAATTTCCCAAAACTACTACAAGAACAAATTATTTTTTTGATTTTAATTCAAAAACTCTCCTGGTATTTCATACCTAGATTTGTTTTCTTTTGATATACGTATTGCCTTAATTTCGTTGACATATTTTAATATGCACGTATATATACGTTCTTACAAATATCACAATAAATATTCTAGACCGTATATATATATACGTTCTTGCCGCTTAGAGCAGGGATCGCCAAAGTGGTCTATATAGACCCCTAGGGGTCTATTTAACAACAGCAGGGGTCTATCTGACCCAAGGGGTCGAATGGGGGTCTATTGGGACTCGAAGGAAAAACAGTTCTTAATACGCAAATCACACATATCTAACTGCGTACGTAAAAATTTAAAATATTTTTATAATTGACTTAATATTATATTCTTTATAGAAAATAAAATAATAAATCAGAAAACAATTTATTTAGCAGACTTATTTGGAAAATTTAATGACGTTCAAACAAAACTGCAAGGAAAAGATGTAACAATTATCCAAGCTCGGACAATACTGTTAGGCTTCCAAGTAAAATTAAATTTATTTAGATCTTCATTGCTACGTAAGGATTATAAGTATTTTTCAAATCTGCGACAATTAAAAACAAAAGAAGAAAACTTGGAAATATATACAAATCATCTTCAAAAATTAAGCGACGATTTTAAACTGCGCTTTGTTGATTTGGAAAACATCGACATCCCTGATTGGATTATTGCGCCATTTTCGGCGCAAATTGATAACGTCGACATCAACATACAAGATGAGCTTGCTGAACTATTGTCCGATCTTGAAGCAAAAACGCTTATTAAAAATTTGACAACATAAATTTTGGACTAATATAAATATAAAGCAAAAATATGTGAAACTTTTACGAAATGGCTCAGCCATTTATGCTGGCGTTTCCAAGTTCGTATATGGTTGAAGCCGGTTTCAGTCACGTTAATTCAATTTTAACTAAAAACAGAAATAAATTAAATGTGGAGCTTAAAATTGAGGGGATTTACGGTTAAAATTGACTAATTTCGAACCCAATATAGCGAACCTTGCCAAGAAACACCAGGCACACTCATCTCATTAAGAAGTAAAAAATCTGTAGCTACTTTACTTACTGTTTCTGATTTATTAAATATTTAGACTAATATATAGTTTTATTTTAATTACCTGAAAATTACCTTTGTGGGGGTCTATGGAGATTTCGAAAAATTATATAGGGGGCGATGATCAAAAAAGTTTGGCGACCCCTGGCTTAGAGGGTTAAAGCAGAACATTATGCTATATACTTGTAAGATCTGTCTCTAACTGTCCACATGCACTCACTTAGATCCTACAATGAACCTGGCGAATTCTCGCACAGGCGTGAAATAAATACCAGCACAGAAGAAGGGTGAAAATAAACCTTTATTAACTCAAACTAAAATAGCAGACAGCACGGACTTCGTGCGTTACAAAAACACCGCTCACTTGCGGCGATAACTTAAACGTAGACGAGAATACAAAATCAAATCCGAAAAATAAAACGATGTGCAAGAACGCACTCAAAATGACTCCTAAGAGATGGGCTCACAGAGATCTAACCGGCGTGATACTAAACTGATAAGGCCAAAAGGCTGACTCGAGTGATAACAACGAAACGAAGAACGAGCTAGCGAAACACGCTCTGAATAAACTGAGATAAACACACGTTTAAATAGCACTTCACTTAATTTAAAATTTACATCCTGGGGAGAGAATGTGAGGGGAAGTTTGAGAAGTTGAGAACAGGTAAACTTAAAATGAATTCGTTATGCAAATTAAGAAAAACCCTACATACTCACGGCTTAAATTCAGCTGGAGTCTCGTTAAATTATTTCTTAATTTTTTCAGTGAAATTATAAATCCAAACGGGGCCCCCGCAAAGAAGAAGAGACCCGGTATTTTATTTTATTATTTAACTACCTGTCTTTTCTCCATATTTTTACCCTTGCAAATGAGCGCCGGGTTCCGAGAGTTTTAAAGTAATTTTTCTCTTTCTCAATGTGTTTAGAGAACGAGCTCTTCTAAATATTAAATTGGATTCATTTATTGTACTAATTGTTTCCGTCTACTAATAAAGACAAAGCCTCGCAAACTCTCAGAATATTTCCTTTCCAACTGTTGAACGCATTTCTGTTACTTCTTTGAGTTACCATTCAAGTACCGAAACTAGTTAAGAATCTGATTGTTTTGACCAATAATATTCCAGGTATCGTTTTCTGCACCAACCTAAATAAGCCCACAATGCAAACTTCAAAAATAAAAAGTCGTTTGACAATGTAGCTCCGCTAATCGAAAGCGCTATTGTGCAAAGTTATATGTCGACGCCCCCTCACCAAACATATAAAACAAGGTGCGAAAGGTTTTAATGAAATTAGTTTAAAAAACCTTATTTATATAATGCATAAATATAATTTAAATTTAACAAACATTCTCTATTCGTAAAAAGCAAATTTAAAGTTAATTAAATTTTAAGTGAAATTGAATTACAAATAAATGATTAATTCAGAAGTCAAACAACAAAAATCAGCGTTATATTTACAAAATTTTCACAGGACTAGTTTCGATGGTTTTACCGAACCACCATCCTCAGCTGCAAAACCACAAATGAAAAAGATAGGAAATAATGATTAGATAAGATAAAAAAGCCTGGGCAAGAATAAGCAAGTGGTGCCATCTGTTGGTGAAACCAGAACTAAAACATAATTTCTTTAAAGGCCGAAGGCAAATTTGGATTGGAATTACGATCGTTAACTAGAACAGAAAGATTTTTATGAATGTGAAATGCCTCTAGAAAATCCAGTAATAATATAACGCTGTTGTAAATATAACGCTGTTGAAATATAACGCTGATTTTTATGGTTTGACTTCTGAATTAGTATTCATTCGGCGTGTTATTGGGTCTTAATTAAATGATTAATTATTGCTGCGAACTAATCTACAATATCATTTAAATTCTGAGATCATATGTAAATCAAGTACAAGTATCAAAATCTATGAATATATAATTCCAATAATTTTTTTTAATCCTAAAAATTTATAAAAATGCATAAGTGAATAATTGTTGAGCAGGCAGGAGACAGACTTGTCAAGGGGAAGTTGCCTCCAAACCTAACTCTTCAATTATTCAATTCGCGTTTCGTCACCCAAAAGATCTTTGACCACCTAAGAATTCTCATCGGATTAAAGTTTATTTATTTATTTTTTTTATTTATTGTAAAGAATAAAAGATATTTTGAGGATAGCTTGCCATTAAAGAGTAGATTAATTGTTAAAAATTAATTTTTATTACCTCTTTGCTAGTTAACGCAAGTCAGAAAAACGGCTGATAAAATTTATTCATTCAAGCCCTTGATAAACAGAATGGTTGAATTTATTCATTTATTCTTTTACCAATTTTAATTTTTACGGTTCTTAATTGTGCTATTTTCTTGCATTATCATGAATTTTTTGGTCAAGTTTGGATTCTTAATTCCTATTTTAAATGCTCATTATTCCATTTATTTGATGATTATATTTTATGCTCGTTTGTTTATGAGGATTTTAAAATATATTAATTATTGTAAACGTTATAAAGGAGTAAATGGAAGTAAAAGGAGTAAATGGAATTATGTATGTGTAATTACATTTAATAGTTAATTAGAGCTAAAGCTCCAGAATTAATCAATATACGAGTAAATATAATTTAAAAAATTTTAATTAGAAAAAGCTTCTAGAAACTTAAAATCAAAAATAGCTTAAAGTGACAAAGCAACAAATTAATTAAATTAATTAAGCCCATTCGTTTTTTTTAACCTTTAATACTAAAATAAATAAAAGACAAAGCAAAACAAATAAATGTAGAAAACAATAGGATATTAAAGATTGCTTTACACGCGCTCTAATCGAGGGGATAGACTTATCTAAAATAATCTTAATCAAAGCAAATAATCCAGAAGCCATATTTCTAAAATAACGTACGATAAGCTAAAAGGTTTAAAAGGGGAACCATGAAACAATTTAAAATGAAAAGTATTCTTGTTTTGTGTAACTCTACCCTTCTAACTTGTCAAAGTTAGATTACGGAGATTTAGTTATTTCTAATTTATTTCATGTTTTGTGAGGATGTTTTAGAATTAAAAAAAAAAAAAAAAATTAGTGTAGGTGTGTGTGTGTGTATAAGCCTTTTTAGGCCTTTTTGATGATATTTTTTTTTTTTTTTTCATTTATATATAAAGTTTTGTACTATAGGAAGCAGAAAACATCTCGGGAAAAGAAATGAATTTTATGAGAATATTAAATTAAATTATGTTTGGAAAGAAAGTTAATTTGCTTTAAAGCTGTTTAAAGTCTCAGTGAATTCATTAGAACGAAACATGTCATTCGTTAATCAATTTAAGGCTTCAAAGCACTTTTCCCTTGAAAAGTTCTGCTTGAAGCCTTAAACACAGGAGATTAATATGATTTTTAACATTTTTTTGTTGTTTTGTTTTAATCTACTATTTCCCTTTTTTTATTTTTCTGTTTGAAATGAAATTTTTGCTTTCAATTTGGTATTTTTCTTTAATTTGTCTTTTACTAGTTTTTGTTTTTTGGTTAAAACAAAAACTAGTTTTTGATTTTTGGTTTTAAAGTCTCAGTGAATTCATTAGAACGAAACATGTCATTCATTAATCAATTTGATTTAAGGCTTCAAAGCACATTTCCCTTGACAAGTTCTGCTTGAAGCGTTAAACAAAGGCGATTAATATGATTTTTAATATTTTTTATTGTTTTATTTTAATCTACTATTTCCCTTTTTTTATTTTTCTGTTTGAAATGAAATTTTTGCTTTCAATTTGGTATTTTTCTTTAATTTCTCTTTTACTAGTTTTTGTTTTTTGGTTAGAATAGGCTTAGTCTTTAAATATTTCTTTTTCGTTCCGATTTCTGAGATTTTGATTTATATATATATATATATATATATGTATAGGTAGATAGACCTAATGTGCTTTGAATAACTCAATATACATGAATATGCATATTAGAGTGTTTTTATTCTCTTTTCAGAGCAAATATACCTTTGATTAATTCTGCAGAATTTTCATCTACGTTCAATTGTCCACTTGGCAGTCCAATGAATCCCGTGAAGAAGTGTAGATTATGGGGATAAAAAGAATTTAGTCTCCGAATAAAAATATAGAAGAAACTGAAAGAAATCAGCAGGATCATTTCAAAAACTATTTTCACTTGTACCTGAAACTTGTAAAAACGTATATATATATATAAAGACTTATTGCTACGTCTCTTGTATGATGTACATGGAAGGAAAAAATGTCAAGTGAAGAAAATGTTAACGATTAAATAAAAAAAGTTAAACGTTTCTCATTTTTTAAAGAATATTTTTAAGACTTTAAAAATGTCTTGTGTAAATGTAATATAATGCCTATTAAGTCTTCTAATACCCTGTTCAAGAGTTTCTTACAATTCATCGTTCTCATACTCTTTCGGTCTTCCTGAGTGTGGCTTAGTTTTTCACATGAATATGATTTTTCATCAAGTTCACCATTCTTAAAACTTGAAACCCGCTTCTTGCAAGCATTAAAAGATCAGTATTAAATATTCTGTCCACAGTCCTTGTTGTTTCTATGTATATATATCATTTATTGGCCAAAAAATGAAAATTTGAAAAATAATGATATGGCCAGGGGATGAACTCTTGCCAGTTCCATATCTTAACGTGGAATAGCAATAAATTAAACTATAACTTTCGGTTGATCGCTTGGCAGATAAAATCTGTATTGTTTACAAACATTCTGGCTCAATATTAGTTATAAATACTACTCATTTTTTATTATTTTGTTCTTCCCTATAATATATGCTTATGTACACATCAGTTCTCTTGCTTTGATTCGAAAATATATCATTGATCATAATATATCCTCTGGTTATAGAGTGTTTCAGATTCATAAATCAATGATTTAAAAATGACAAAATTTTTAAAAGCAGCATATCTTTAGAATATCCAGTAGGGTGTTAAGTGTTCGATAAATTTCCTTTCCAATCGTTTCTCAGTTTATGATATTAGTATTCAGTTTCCTTAGTATGATGGTCAGCTTTTATTTTGTTATTTTAACTTTATTTAATGCACATTACTTTCGTCGTTCTTACTCTTATAATTATAATAATAATTATAATAAAATTCAACCACTAAATGTTGAAAATCAGTATATCTTTAGAATTTCCAATCAGAGTATTAACTGTTGCCGTACGTTTTTTTTATATTCGCTATATTAATTTGCTTTATTATGTTTTAAGAAATAATGCATAGTCATATCATTTGGTGGCAGCATCCTTTTATTTAAAACGAGGTTGGCCATAAATGTGGAACAGACACAGAGTACAGGCCGGTGCATTTAATTGTTCCATAACGAGAGCTGGACTTCATAATGAGTCTATCTTCGTTGTATTTAGCATAATCTCAATTCACTAAACATCTGGAAAAATAAATAGGATCTTTTTAGTTTCTCTCAATTCGGTTTTCGCAAAGATCATAGTACTGCGTACCAAATTCTAAACATAACCGAATTTATCGCTGACGCGTTCATTAAGCAATCGGCCCTTGCATCCTGCTTTCTCAGTTTCAAGAAAGCTTTCGACAGAGTATGGCACAAGGGTCTGATTCATAAATCAACAGAAATTCATCTCCCAATCAGCTTTTTTAAACTCATAAATTCGTACTTAAAAAGAAGAACATACCAAGTAAGATATGAAGAAACCTTTTCTTCTAAACATCTCATCAATTGGGGGCGTCCCGCAGGGGTTTATTCCAGCTCGCACATTGTTTAACATTTTATTAATGACTTTCCGACTCTGCTCTCAGCTCAAATTCAGTGACGTAGCTAGGGTAGGGCAAGGAGGGACATCTGTCTCTGGGCGCAGCATCCATGGGGTGCGAAATTGGTGTTATAAAATTTTACAATGAAATGTTTTCATTCTTGGCACACAAGAGGGGGCCGAATAATTTTCAGTTGTCGCCGAGCCCTGAAAACGGTCCCTAGCTAGGGCTCTGCTCAAATCTTAAAATATGCAGACGAACACAATACCAGCAAAGTCAATGAGCCTTCAACTTGCCATACGTAATCCGTAATCTTCAGCTATGTATGAACACAGTTGCAGCCCAGTGGTGTAAATTATAGAAAATGCGTTTCAGTACCAGCAAATGCTGAGTTGTTCTCTACCGAAGACACAGGAAGTATATCAGAATTAATACAGACGCTGTCACTGATAATGATATTCTGCTTGTGAAAAGCTCTTGTAACTACGTAGGAGTAATCATTGACAATCGACTAAATTTTAAAGAGCACATCACTGCTACTTTAAACGAAGCAAATGGGGCTTACATACCCATTTCTAGTATCATGGGAAGAAAATCCAAGCTACACCCCCAGAATTAATGGAAAGCTGTACCATTTGCTAATGAGCTACATTACGCTGACCTCATAGATCACGTGACTTATGTATACCTTTTGTAAATAAACAATGCAGATGACCTCAGAGATCACGTGACTTATGTACAGCTAATGCAAACAAGCAAGGTCGTTCTTCCTCTTCTTCTCTTGCGGAATGTATCTCATTCGCACAGTACTTTTACATGGAATTCCTTCATGGACAACCAGAGCCAGATTTAGACTTAAAAAGGCCCTAAGCTATTTGACATATAGGGCCCTTTATAAGTTTGCTATAATATATTTTAATACTATTTATACTATATTTAAATTTTTTGGGGTCCCCAAGAAATTGGGGGCCCGAAGTTATAGCTTGTGTACAGAGCCGTAGCTAGGGTTTTCAGCGCCCAGGGACAACTGAAGATTTCGCGCCCCATACTGCTTGCCAAGGATGGAAAACATTTAATTCTAAAATGCCGTAACATCAGTTTGGCGCCCCTTGGATCCTGCGCCAGTTCCCCCCTTGCTCCCCTCTAGCTACGCCCCTGCTTGTGTAGCTTATGCGTAAATCCGGTCCTGTGGGCAACTGCGGGGAATGCCTTCGCGAAAAATTAGTTTGGTTTCCAGATAAAATCCTCCGTACTATAATAGTTAACGCTTCCCTGATACGTGAGAAATTCCCAGGTGCCTACGAAACTAACAGTCCGGACTCTTCCAGATCACATTCTCACTACAGCGCACTTCATCCCAACAGCAAAATGAATTCGCAATACACTGCAATTGCACGAATCCCAAATCGAAAATAATATAATTCCTGATCGAAAATACTGTCAAAAGAACGAGAGCTATTCACCATAATACGTATTGGTAATTTTGTGTATATCATGTATATTTTTCATTCTACTCAAGAATCAATTTAGCATTTGTTCACATACTATCATATAAGTGAGATCTTCATGCGGACATAACATCGCAGTGGAAGAGCACTTCTCTAGAAATTTAAGATCAGGAGCTTTGAATTTGATCTCGGGAACTTTGAGTTTCAATTATTAATCTGTAAATATTTTTGCATTGTAGCTATGTTTTTTGGGGGGAAGGCATATAATTACATCCTCAACTGCAGCACCACCGACCACCGCAATTTACTTTCACTCCGACAGAGGGCGGCACTAGCAATCTCAATTTCATCCTATGCATTGCTTTCCTTGACTTTTTCAACTCTTAACTACATTCTCTTTTCGTCCATTCGGATGATTGTGCTGTAGTCATGGACCTTATAAGAAATAGACTAACCCAAACGGGTTTTCTCACCTCGTCTGAGGCGTTGCCGGCTGTCACCTTGATCACATCCGGAGGAGTAGGGACGACTTGCAGAAATTTAACATTGGTTGCCTATTGCAGCGTGTATAATCGTCAAGAAAAAGCTGGTTGTAGCGCCTCATTTCACAAATCAGAATTTCTACATAGTTTTATTTTTGAAATTGAGATTTATTTTTAAAAATTTAGCATATTTATCAAGCATAATTAATGTTCAAAATAATTATAAAGCTATTGCATGCTTTCAGGACTGGATATGTTTTTAGCTTTTCCTATGCTGTAAGGAAATTTGTAACTACTTCTTTTAGAAAATAATATTTTAAATCTGAACTAATAGAAAATTTCAAACAAGCAATTTTCTCTTGCATTTTTATGCTTTTTATTGGTGTAAATAAGTAAAAAATACTAAAATATTTACAAACGAATTTTTGAAAGTTGTGTTTAAAATTCTAAATTGTGCTGCTTTTTTAAAATTATAGATGAGTATTATAGCACAATTTCTATAAAGGAATTTTATTTCAATCATATTTCATAATACATCATAGTGATAAACACTTTTGACTCCTTAAAAATGTTTATACATTTAATTCTAATATTAAAATTATATTTAACCGTAATAATTAATTTTGCTTGTATTTTATAGTGATTATTTTTTAAATTTATTTTTAGTTCTGCATATGATTTTTTTTTATTTACTGTTAATTTAATGTATTAGCCTAAAGGGGCGGTAGCCTAGAAAGGCTGTTCGTTTCGAAGCGGCATTTTGCGCTGTTTTACTATAAATGTCCGTGTCTCCTTGCAAATTGTTGTTACCAAATATTATCGCCCTGTATTATATGTAAAGAAATTAAATAATGAAGAATCTGCATGAATACAATGTATGTTTCTCGCACTGTGACAAAAACGACAGTATCTAGAGCCATCAAATTTTGAATAATGTAATCCTCACCCGAACATGGGCATCTGGACGGCCGAATTTCGAATTTGTTTTAATCTATTTCATATTTTGTAAAACTTTAACGAATTTTTGATTAACAAACTCAACGAGTTCAGAGCGAGCACTGTACGGAAAATAACAGTTTTATCTCCAGTGCGGAAATTCTAAAGATAAGCTGTTTTCAAATGTATGCGGTTTACGGGCGAAGAACATGATATTCAATAAATATAGGTAACACACAAAACTTTAAAAAAAGGTTCCTTTTGGGCGTCATATAAAATCTGAGTGCTTCTAGATTTTATCTTTTTTTTTTTTTTTTTTTTCCTCCTTCATTACGCTCAGAAAATTTTATGCTCCCAATTTTATGAATTATTAAAATAACTAAGCCACTTAAATGTTAATAATTTAATGATCATATAATCAAATAAATATGATCGTTTTGTAATATTATTATAGTTTGGAAAATCACTGCCTGAACATGTTTATTAAATTTTAAAAAAATTTAACAAATCTTGTTTAATTTTACCTTATTTATTTCAAAGCATCGCATACTATCAATCTTATTTAATTTTACTTTATTTTTACGCAAAATTAAGTTCATAATTTTTGTGCTTAGAGTTTTTACCGTTTTACCAAAGGTCTCTTATAAGGTCCATGGCTGTAGTACATAATTTTTAAATA